TTCCGTCTCCTCAAATGAAAAATATGTAATCTCTAGCCACTAAAATTTATTTTCAAGACAACCACCATGATTTGCATGTTTCTGAGCCACCAGCCTTGATGTACAGGTAACAGACATGACTTGTGCACAGAAGCAACCTTAGGTTGATATAAAAAAGGGACCCCATCCAAGGATCCAGACTTTTCAAAGGTACATATCCACAAACATTTGTGTGTGTACAGCATTACCAACTGCTCTTTATTCTGAAATTACATCCTTCCTAATTATACTGGGCATTAAAACATCCTGTCCTTTTATGCTCACATGCTTTTATGTCCTTTATATGGTCACAGCAAGCAGTGTTTGGTTTTAAATTTTTTTCAAAATTTAAGATTCTGACTTAAATAAAAAGGATCACAACTCCATGACAGTTAGTCCTCTTGATTTTATTTATATCAATTGTATGTCTGTGAAATTCCAAAGACAGATGGTGCAAGGGATCTATCTCCCTCTCTCTCTGTTTTTGTGTGTGTAGTACTGGGGATAGAACCCAGGCCCTCAGCAAGTCAGGCAAGGGCTCCACCCAAGAGCTATATCCCCGGGCAAGAGGCAGTTCTTGGGGGAGGGGTTGGATCCTATCTTATAGGTGACACTTGGTCACCTCTGGGAGTCATTTTTTGTTGTCACAACTGTAAAGAAGGGGTTGCTGCTAGCCTGGAGTGGGTGGAGGCCAGGAATGCCACTAAACACCCTACAGTGCCCAGGACTACCCCACACATCAGTATTGCTGGGACTGAGAAACCAGAAACTGGACTAGATGATGTCCCTTTCCACCCCTTAATCCATCCAACCAATACATGTCTATCAGGCCCCTGGTACCTGCCAAGCACTGTGCCGGGAGCGGGGGATTCAATGTGGAGTCAAGCAGGGGAGACCGGCGGTCAGGGTTTCCTTGGTTCCCCGCCCCACGTTTTGGGAGGCCTGCTGTGTGCTACAAAGACCCCTTCCAAGAAACACGGAGGAGACAGGCACCTTACTTATCAGACAGCACTAACAACTCCCTAGTCCCAGCTCCCGGCAATCCCCACCACACAAACCTCTTCCCTGGCTTGCCCTGACTCAAACAGACAGCAATTTCGGTTTCCCCATGCCTCAGTTTCCCCACCTGCTGTAAGGTCCAACTTGCTTAGGAAACAAATGCAACCAGGAGCATCCAAAGCCTGGCTCTTTCGCCTCCCTGAACCTCAGTTTCTCCTCTTGGCTCCATTGACCCATCACTCCCCCAGGGGGCCCTGGAAAGACCAACTGATGTGAAAGCGCCAAGGAAAGGAAACACATATATAAATATATGGTCTTGGCGGCAACAATAACGTCAAAGAGGGCGCTCTTGGAGCTGCAGGGCCCTGGCTCGGGATTGCAGGGCCTTGAGGACAGATCCCGGCCCGGGGCCCACAGGCGCATCCACCCCCACACCCGCCGCACCGACCCGCACAGGCCGCGTCGCCCCTTCCCCTCAGCGCGGGCCACAACACACCTGCGGCCGCTCCCCTGGCGCCCGGCGCCGCGCACTCCGGCTCCTCCAGCATCTCTTGGGCGGCAGTACGAGCTCCTCTCAGGCGGGGGGGGGCGCGAGCTCAGCTCCGGCGGCCGCTACTGCTCGCCCTCCCGCCTGCGCCAGGCTGCCGCGGCCGCCGCGCTCGTATTTGGCGGGAACCGCGGCGACCCCCGCAGCCCTCACGCTGATTGGGCGAGACCGCGTCACATGACACCTTACCTCGGGAAGAGAGGAGCGCTGGGAGCATCCTCGCGAGAGCCGTGGCTTCCATTCCTCCCAGGGCTCCCCTATTGATATTCCCGCGAGTGGGGGAGAGGAGGGTCTCTTTTCTGGCGAGCCGTCATTGGCTGGCGAGAGAAACTCTGCGATTGGGCATAGAGGATGTCAAGCTGAGAGCTAGGCACTGCGATTGGCTTTGCGCGTGGGAGGAGGGCGGGGAAGGATACGTCACGAGCGGTGCTATTGACAACAGGAAACGTGTTTAGCAGAGGACTGAAGTTTTGAGTTTATCTTGAATTGGGAATTAGTTGAAATATAACGATTGCTATTAAAATTACAAGTTACTTTCTCTACGAATAATAAAATACTGTCTTAGTGGACCTTTAGAAGCATTTGGCATGCAGTAAATATATTTAGAGAGAATGAATGAAACGGATGTTTCTGCTTTAATGCACAGGAATTTGGCACATGACTGCTCTACAAGCAGCTTTTTCCTGCCTGAGTTCTAAAACTTTAGGATTTTTTTTCAAGAACCTCTTTTTTACTCCACCTGCAATATGCTCAAGTGCTTGCAGCACTTTTTTTCCTTGAAGACAGCTGTGTTTATTAGTGTTATTTGACTAGTTTTATTAACTAATAATTAATTCATTTTGTGGTACTTAGAAGTGAACCCACAGGCGTTTTCCCACTGAACTACATCCCAACCCTTTTTATTTTTTATTTTATTTTTATTTTTTGGTACCAGGGATCGAACTTGGGTCCTTGAGCTTGCGAGGCAGGCGGCAGAACCACTGAGCTAAATCCCCGGCCCCTTTTTTATTTTTATTTATTTATTTTTGCTACAGGGGATCGAACTCGGGACCTTGTACTTGCAAGGGAGGCGGCAGCACCATTGAATCCCCGGCCCTCCAACCCTTTTTATTTTGAGACAAGATCTCGGTAAGTGGCCCAGATTGAACTCACCAATATTTGTCCGTGACTGATACATATTAGGCGCTCATCAAAGTGAATCCATGAATATCACTTGACTGAACTGTGTAGATCAAGCAAGTTAAAAGCCTCACACAGAGCTAAGTGTGTACCTCAGTGGGGAAATGCTTGCCTACTATGTGCCAAGGCCTAGGTTCCATTCCCAGCAACAGAAAAAAAGAGGCTCACACAGAAGAATAGAGACCTTCAGTGTCAGATTGTGAGTTTCAAAACAGGTTTTCTGGCTGGGCATGATAGTGCATATCTGTATTCCTGGCACTCTTGGGAGGCTGAGGCAGGAGGATCACCGTGAGTTTGAGGCCAGCCTGAACTGCATAGGGAGACCTTGTCTCAAAAAATAAATAAATAAATAAAAATAGGTTTTCCTTTTTTTTAAATTTTCTGGTACTGGGGATCAAACTCAGGACCTTGCACTTGCCGGGCAGACGCAGTGCCACTGAGCTAAATCCCTAGGCCAAAAAATAGGTTTTCTTCAGCACCAACATAACATCTCAGAAGAGGAGATGATGAGAAAAAAAATTGGAATCCAGCCAAGCTTTAGAATACTTTTTTGAGGTAGATTGAATAATCAATAAAATTGGTTAAGAAATAGAAAATTCAGAGACATCATTTTGGGGAAATTAGGCCATTACTCAAGGCCACAGTTCCCCTGTCTAAACTATAAGGGTGTTTTTCTCTTCCTTCTCTGACATGCTAGCATTCTGTAAACACAGTTGAGCATATCAGAATCACATGGGGAGCCTTTTCGAATTATTCACAATGGCTGGATTGGTATCTTGGGGGGTATGTATTCTTAGCAACCCTTTGATGTAGTCCACTTCTTCTGTTGAGGCATTTGGAAGTTTCTAGCAATCTTCTGTTTCAGAACAATCTCCCAAATCTATCAGCAGCTGCAACACTGAAGTTCTCAGCACTTTTTTGGGGGGGGGGGTACCAGGGATTGAACTAAGGACCTTGTGCTTTCGAGACAGGTGCTGTGCCAGTGAGCTAAATCCCCAGCCTTTCAGCACTTTTGTTGTAATCATTTTCTTTTTCCTCTTTTTGGATTCATTTACTCATTCCAACTCATTATTCATTCAATACTTTGTTTTCGTTTTTCAAGACAGAGTCTCACTATATAGTTCAGGTTGGCCTCAAACTCACCATTTACCCCAGGCTGGCCTCAAACTCGAACCCATCCTCCTGCCTTAGCCTCCTGAGTGCTAGGATTACAGGCATGCACCACCATTTCTGGCCATTCAATACAATTTTATCAACAGTTGATACAAAAATCCAAATCAATAAACATGCATCAATTTAGAGAGACTTCTTGGGGGAGGTGACATTCTAAGCAGGGTCCTTTCTATGCACAAAGGATGGAGGCAAGATTGGGGGGAAAAGTGCAAGAAAACAAAGTCCCACAGGCAACAGGGCTTACAGCAGATAAAGAGAGCAGAGATCAAGAGATGATGGAGCCAGGGGCAACCCACTTTCCAGTCCCCCTTCTGTCTCTCTTAGACAGAAGCTATCTTTCTCTCAATAAATTCTTCCTACTCTTAAAAAAAAAAAGATAAAAGGGGCCAAAAGTTACTCTTAAATTCCTTTGTTGCTTTGCTATCTTCTGGTTTGCTGTAAACTGTTGCCCCTCTGCCATGAGCCACCCTGTCTTGGAGCCAGCTGATTATGGACTGAAACCTCTACAGTGAGCTAAATAAACCTTTCCTCCCTTAAAAAAAAGAGAGAGAGAGAGAGAGAGAGGGATGATGGAGCCAAACTAGTCAGGTTCAGGAAGCTTGGAGAGTATTGGATGTGCAGCAGGTGGACTTTAAACAGAGGACTGTTGTGGTCTGAATTATGTTCTAAAAATGTCTTTTCAATTGCCTTGTAGGGGATGAATTAGAAAGGAGAATTGGAAGCTGGAATACCAGAGTGAAGGTTGGTAGAATAGCATAATCAAGGCGACACCCAGATGTGTGACTTGGGAAACTGAATGGATTGGACAGGGAACAGTGTGGGGAGCGGGGACAAAATACACAGAGGGATTGGGTCTCGTTGAGATGACCAAACAGGTCTCTGGAGAATCGTTAATCTGAGCTCCATCTCCCCCATTGCTTTTCCAACTAGAGCGAGGCGCTTTTCCTGAAACTTTAGGTTCACCTCCGCTACTCTAGGAGGCGCTACAGCCTCTATGGCCTCTCTAGGTTTATTATATCGATAACAAAGTGCGCGTGCGCTCTCCGGCCGACAGGGGGCGCGCGTGAGCAGACAGGGAGGGGGGTGGTGCGGTGGGGCCGGTACCGGAAGTGTGCGGTTGCCATGTAATATCCTGGAATCGCGGGCGCGCAAGTAGCTGAGGCGGCGTCGGGGCGGGCGCGGAGTTGGCCAGCGGGTGGTGGAGGCGGCGCCGATAGGGGCCGCCGAGGCACGAGAGGGATTGGCGGCGCCCGGGAAACCTGAGGCTTGAGCGGGGCCTGCGGTTTACTCAGACCGGGCGGGAGGCCCGAAAGCGGGAGGCAGCATGTCGGTGGCGGGGCTGAAGAAGCAGTTCTACAAGGCGAGCCAGGTGAGCAGAGGCCGAAGCAAGGGAACCCCGTTTGGCCGGAGTGGGGGGCCAGGCCCGGCCCTGGCTCGGAAGGGGACCGAAGGGACTGCGCTGCTACGTGTCCCCTGCTGGGTAGGGGAACCGAGGATGGCGGGGTGGGGGGGTGGCCGCGAGGAGACCCAGGCCATGGTGTCTTTAGGGTTCCCAAGGGTCCTCTAAAGGGCGGGCAACATTCCTGGGAGGAGCAGAATGTATCCAGAGGCCGGCCCGGGACGTGGATCGACCCTTCTCTCTTCCTTTTTCCCCCCTCCCTTTTAAAAGTGTGTGTGTGTGGGGGGGAGAAACTAAGCCCCGAGGCTGTGGACCCAGGATTCTTGCCAGATTCTTGCCCCCTGAGGGGGCAAGGAAAATTGTGCCTAGAGCAAGTGTTTTCAAAATTCTCTTGATGGACAGGGTACAAAGTTGAACTGGCAGAAGGAAAAGTCAGTTTCCGCCCCTTTCCGCTCTTGCCACACAGAGACTGTTACCGACTCCTAATGTCCTTGTCCAAAAATATGGATACACTTTTCCTTTAAACATACATGGGCACAGTGATCACACACTCTGTGTAATCCTGTGTACTGTACTTTGTGGGGGTTTTTTTGTTAAATGTGTCTTGGAGGTCACACTAGAGTTGTAATTCTCCATCCCAGCAGTGTTGACATTTGGGGATGGATCTGGAGACAGATCATTCTCTGGAGTGGGGGCTGTCCTAGGCATGGCAGAGTGTTGATCAGCATCACTGGTTTCCACCTGCACCATCCCAGAAGCTGTCCTGACAGCCTGTCTTGACAGCCACAGATGTCCTGAGAGACATCACAAGTGTCTCCTGAGGGTAGAATCCTTTTGTCCTTCTCTCCCAACTTCTGTGTTAAACCATACTCCTAGAGTTTCTTGAATTTTTTTTTTTTTTTTCAAGACAGGGTCTTGCTATGTTGTTCAGCCTGGCCTCAGACTCCTGGGCTCAAGGGATCCTTCTGCCTCAGCCTCCCAAGTGGCTGGAACTATAAATTGGCACAGCCAGTTGGATCTTTTTAATGGGTGGCTGAAATGTACCATAATTTATTTAACCACTTGCCTACTGATAGATGTTTAGATTGTTTCCAGTAACATTTTGCTACAACAGTTCCACAGTGAATATCTTTGCTTGTAAGTGTGATTGGTTTTCTAGTATAAATTCCCGGAATCGGGATACTAAATTCAACACTAACTGCCTTTGGGCAGAGGATTTAGCTCAGTGGTTCTGCTGCCTGCCTTGAAAGCGAAGTCTCGATTTCAATCCCTGGTACCAAAAAAAAAAAAAGACTAACTGATTTTTACTGTGACAGTCCCACATGCAGAAACAGAATATGAACTTTGTTAAAAAATGCAAATGAGGGTCTTGGGTGCAGCTCAGTGGCACCTTCCATCCTAGCTTCTGGGGGACCTGGATTCCAGCCTCAGCACTACACACAAGAAAGCTAAATGCAGACATCTGAGGGGGTTCCTACTGCACTCTGAGGATCAGGGGAATAAACTTGGGCCACAGTGGGCCGGGGGAGGCAGAGGAGAGCCACTTGGCCCGGCTGCAGCTTACTCCACCCGAAGTGTCTCTGAGGGAACCGGCCATGGTCTCTGGCTGAGGGCTCACAGTATTTGTTCCAGCTGCCCTTATCCCTTCACTGTGTGTGGGACACTAACTCCGCCAGCTCCTTCTCTTCCAGGCAGTCCAAGCAGTCCCAGATGCCTTGATTCCTACTGGCCTGTGCATCCCAGGTTAAGAACTTTGGGTGTGGAGTTGGTGTGCATAGATTCCACAGTGGAATGAGCAATGATCTCAGGAATTATTTGGGCTGTGCTGGCCAGCAGGGCTGTACCCACAATTTGTAGAGGCCCCATGAGAGGGAAGAGATGCTCTTAGTAACATGCAGCTGGTGTCTTGCCCCTGGAGGGAAAAAGCAATGACCCTGGCGGTTATCTAAAATAAAGATATCTGGGGTCCGTCTTTAGACAGCAGATGATGACTAAACCCTGGGGGAAGAGAGATTTAATCCAGAAGATTTTTAGGATTGTTGCTAGGACCATGTTCCTTTGCCCCAGCAGGATAGAACTGAGTGGATTTTGGCCAGCAGGCAGGAGATCCCACATGCCTGGGAGGCAGATCTCTTGATGGGACTCTGATGCAGGACTTTCTGTGGGAAACATCACCAGAGGCCTTAGGAGAATTCATCCACCTCTTGGTTCTCTCTTGTAGTGAGGGCTCTGGAGGCCCTCTGCTTCCCACGCCCAGTGTCAGGCCTGTTGGTGGCCCATGCAGTCCCCAGGGCACATTTTCCCTGAGGGACCTGCTCAGATTCTCAGGCTGCCCACCGGAACTTGTCTTCTCTTTGGGGCCTGCATTGAGCTGTGGATAGCATCACAAAGCCTGGAAAGCACAGCCCAGTGTAAGCTGGCAGTTGGGATCAATCTGCTGTTTGAAGGTTCTGAGGCTTTGTCCCAAAGAATGAGTGCAGTGGCCACTGCTTCCTCTGAGCTGTTTTGGCCTCCTTACCAGTTCTCTGTCAAGCTGTGCTGTCTGGAATCACCCTGGCTATGTTCCATCCTCTTCTGCAATCCTTTCCAGTTCTCCCACATCTCCCTTGTTTATCTGGCTGTGTCTGTACCTCTTGTTTCTTTTTTCTGTTTCTTTTTTTTTTTTTTGGTACCGGGGATCAAACTCAGGACCTTGCACTTGCGAGGCAGGCACCGGAACCACTGAGCTAAATCCCTGGCCTTGTTTCTTTCTTCTTCCTCCTCAGTCACACCTCCTGTCCTCTCCTGAGCCTTCAGAATGTAGTCGCCTGTAGAAAAGAGAAACCTCCACTTGTGTATTGACAGCTGACATGCCTGGTTTCTCACCATGTGACTAGGCAGCAGGCTTTAAACCAGTGATCTCAACTTGTGACGCTTATCTGGCCTAACCTAGAAATGCTCCCCAACACACACAAAAGTATTTGGGGACACTCATCTTCCTGTGGGATACAGGTCTCACCCAGGGCCCGTTCTGCCCTCCAGAGGACACTGACTGTCTGGGGACATGTGTGGTTGTCAACAACTTGATGTGGTGCTGCTGGCTTCCAGTGCAGCACCATATCCTGTAAAGTACAGGATGTGCCTCAACCCCTTACCCCAGTAATTTTCTGGCTCCAGATGTCAACAGTAAGGAGTTCAGAAACCCTGCCTTTGAGGTTTGAGAAAAGTGAAGATAATTAAACCAGAACAACAAAAAAATCCCTGCTGGGTCGTTCTTATGGTACCTGCCTGATTTTTCTAGTTTTCAAAGCACAGACAACCCTGTGTACACAGATGGATGCCTACAGAACTCATCGGGATGACCCTCACCTCAAAGTGTTTGAGACAGTTTTGAAGAGAAGCTCCCAGTGGTATCAGGAGGCCAGGGATGCTGCTGGGCATCCTATAATGTGCAGGGTGGCCCCCAAAGGTCAACACCGATTGTTTTTTTGGGGGGGGCCACCGGGGATCGAACTCGGGACCTTGTCCTTGCAAGGCAGGCGCCGGAACCACTGAGCTGAATCCCAAGCCCCCATCAACACCGTTCTTAAGAAACCTGTTTGAAAACAGGTCCTGGATGTCAAAGACCTGTCACAGTGTCACAAATTTGCAAATTGAGAAACAAGCCAGGTGCAGGGGCAGCCAGGGCCCGGAAAGAAAAATTGGGTTTTCGGCAGTGGAGGCAAAGTTTGTGATCTCTTGTTGTTGGCACAGTGTGATCTTAGCAGATGCCATGGCAGTTCACCACCTGGCACAACCTCTTCAGCTCATGTTCAAAATTGGTCTGAGCTCGCCTGGGAAGTGTACAAGGTTTTGCTTACAGGGTGGGGGAAGTTGAAGGATCGATACAGAGGCAAGCAGGACAAGGTCTCCTCCCTCTTACCCGGGTAAGCCACTTTCTCAGTGCTCCCTGGCATTTGTGCACATCTAGGACTAGGGTACTCTTAGTATTTCCAGGGAACTGAGGAAGTTTATATATTTTAAAAATCCACTAGCAAGATGCAGACTCAGATGTTCACTTCTCAGTGGAGGGGGTGACGTTGCTTCCAGGCCTAAAGTGCTTGCTAGTTTCCTGATCATTCTTGTGGCCAGACCACGTGGAGATTTGAGTGTAACTAGGGATAGCGCTGGCGGCTGCCTGGAATGCTGGCCTGACCTTTTTTTTTTTTTCTTTCTGTCTGAAAGGAGGGGGAAGAATTTGAAAAGAAAGATTGGGCTGCTAAGTTAAGAGGAAAATTCAGGACTGCTTCACCTCCCATGGCTGTTTTCTTGTTTTGTTTTATTTGCAGTGCATTGGATTGAATCTGGGGCCTCATGCATGCTGGGTAAGCGCTCACCACTGAGCAGCATCCCCAGCCCCTCACCCATGGCTTTGAAGTGTGTTGATGTTCTCTGGGCCCAGGGTCTGACCCAAAAGGAAAGAACACACTTCCTGTGAGAGGCCGGGGCTCAGGGGAGAGTGGAAGCTGAGGACCCTATGTCCCACCCTATAAAAAGAAAAAGGCAGAGTGAGTGGGGTTGGCACATGGTTGATGTGTTAGGACATTCCCAAATGCTGCTGCTTTGACCGTGTGTGTGTGTGTGTGTGTGTGTGTGTGTGTGTGTGTGTGTGTGTGTGTGTGTGTGTCTCTCTCTCTCTCTGTGTGCTGTGTCTGTGTGCTGGGGATGGAACCCAGGGCCTTGTGCATGCTAAGCATACGCTGAGGCACAGACCTACTTTTCAGACCTCATTTTGTGGAAGCACACCTTTGCTTTCCAAGAAAAGTGCTTGGCTTGTTAAGTGACAAATGCAGAATGACTTTTTTTTACTGGGGATGGAACCCAGGGCCTTTGCACAGAGCTACATCCCCAGCCCTTTTTATTTTTTATTTTGAGACAGGGTCTCACTAACTCATTAAATTGCCCAGGCATAGCTCGAACTTGTGATCCTCCTGCCTCAGCCTTCCATAGTG